AGCACCATCATGTGGGTGCCTTGTGAGCCTTTGCCTGCGTCATGCATGCTTAATGTCCCGTAGACCACGGTAGGTCGCGTGGTAAAGCCAGTGTGCATGGTACCCGGGTTGTATGTGTGCGTGTGTGTGGTGGGGGGCACTTCCCAAGGGCCTGAGTCCCAGGAGGCATGCTTCACTGGGGCCCCCCACCGTAACACGTTAGTTTACCGCACAAGGGCTCACGTGGCCCTTCCTGGTGAGGATGTGGGCTCCCCCCAGCTCATGGCTCCCTTGCCAGTGGCTGCTCAGCTCACATCGACAGCTGCAGGAGAGAGGAGACCCCCGTCCCCCGCCCCTTACACTTGTACATACATCCCATTGGCCAGAGCTCGGTCACATGGCCACTTCAGGTGCGAGATATGCTGGGAGTGACTGTCTTCAGGCAGGCAGTCGTGAGCTCAGGGAGGCCAGAGGAGGGAAAACAGATGGGGGACGCGTGGCAGTCTTCCGAGGGATCTTGTTTGAATTCGTTGCCCCTGGGTTTGTGGAGGGAATTGACCGGTTGTGTGCATGCCAAGCGCTCCTCATGTCCTCATCCGCTTCCCCCTTGCTCTGGCTTTCCATCCTGCCCTGTCTCACACTTGCTGGCCTTTTGTTAGTTTTCCTGCCCACGTGGCAGGTTCCTTCTGAGTGCTGGGAGTTGGGGCTGCTCACATCATGACCTTGTTCCAGGCGGCAGGAGGTGGCAGGAAGGTAAAGAGAACATGTGTGAGACGCTGATGGAGAGGATCACGAGGGAAATTCTCGTTTGCCCCCTAACGGGTGCTGCCCCAGAAGAGGAAGAGCAGCTGCAGAAGGCTCTGGAGCCTCAGGAGGGGGAACCAGGCCCTGTCAGGCGGTCCGTCATCCGGGAGCCAGCCCAGGACAGGGGCACCGCTGGGGAGAGCCTTACTGTGCCTGTAAGACCAGCCACCCCACACCAAGGCCTTGGAAGAAAGAGGCCCCGCCCAAAGGATGTGGGTGGGCAGGGCCCCGAGCGTGTCTCCAGTGTGAGCAGCCACCGGGCCTGCCACGTGAGGGAGCCTGATGCAGCTGGCCACAGCGCAGGGTCCCTGGCCAGGCAGGACCAGGATGGCTCCGCGGCAGGCTGCCCTGCTGCCGATGAGCCTGGGCTGTCCCGAGGGAAGCCCTACGCGTGCAGCGAGTGTGGGGAAACCTTTGCGTGGATCTCTCATTTCATTGATCATCTCAGAAGCCACAGTGGCAGGAAGGTGTATGCGTGCCAGGGCTGCTGGAAGACCTTCCACTTCAGCCTAGCCCTGGCCGAGCACCAGAAGACCCACGAGAAGGAGAAAATCTACGCGTTGGGCAGGGCCCCGGGACCCCACCCTGCTGTGTGTGGAGCCCATGCCAGTGGGAGGCTCAGTGGGCGCCTGGGGTGTGTGGCGGGTGATGGTTTCCCTGTGCACTCCGAGGCGCAGAGATGAGCCACTTGCTCGAAGTGTCCCTAGAGGACAACTTCACCTGCCCGGGATTCCCGAGAAATGTATCCGGCTCCTTCGAAACCCTGCGTGGCTTCTTGCATTGTCTATGTGGATGTGAGTCTTGTCTGTTTTCTAAATGAGCTTGTGTGGCTAAAGCACTTAGAACCCAGGAAGGGCCCTCGGGAAGCCCTTGCCTCCTTGTAAACACACCCAGCAGATGCCCACACGCAAGCACGAGCTGTGAGCTGTGAAAGAAGATTCCCTTCTCTTCCGTAGCCAGTTTGGCACCACCCGCGCATTGGAACGTTGTCATCGTGCAGAGTGTCAAGTTGCCTTAAAGTGTGTGATCGGCTAGCTCTTGCTGAAGTCAGCCTTGTCCCTGTTCCTCCTGTTCAAGCTCCCCAGGGCTTCTGCTCAAGCTGTTGGGTCCTCTCGTAAACACCTGATGTCAGGTTCACTTCTGCATCCTCACTAGCAGACTGTTTCCCAGTTCTCGCACGTTGTCCACGTGTGTGGAGTGGCTTAACAAAGGTCACAGAAATGCTTGGAGCCTAGTAACACGGTGTTTTCAAACCGTGCGTCTCAGCCCATTAGTGAATTGTGAAATCAAATCAGTGGGTGGCCACCAGCATTACACCACCATGAAATTAGAATTAAATAGGTGAAAATTCATCATGTAGTAAAGGCAGATGTTTTGTGAAACTTTTCAGCCATATATCTAACTATGAGACCTGGTTGCAATATAAGGTGTATTTCTTACTCTGAGGGTGGAGGGTCATGATCAGAGCAGGTTGAAAACACCAGTGAAGGTTGATGAGATGTGTCTGCCTGGGCAAGCGGAACTTAACTCCTTGGGCTACGTAGGTGATCTTTTGATTTTTGCATTTGATCTCAGATTACAGCATTGTTTCTGTTGCCTGAGCATAAACTTTAACTGCTTCTTGTAGATAAACTGGTGCCTCTTTCCGTCATGGTGTTTGAGCAGGCAGTCTGTTGTAACGATGCCTAAATCACATATGCTTAACATAATAAAAGATTTATTTCTCGCACTCACATGACAGTCTTGGTGTTTGTTGCTGTTGCTTGTGTGTGGATGGGAGGGGAGCTCTGCTCCGTGTAGTGATTTGGGGATCCAGGCTCTGTCCCTGTTGTGGCTCTGTTCTCCACTGGACTGCAGGAGCACATGGGGAAAGCCACACTTGCTCAGCTGGGAGACCACACACATCACTTTATATTTTTTCAATTTATATTTTTAAATTTTTATTTAGAAATAATTTCAAACTTACAGAAAAATCAACCCCACCTATATGAACATTTTCCCCTGCTTGCCTGTGATTCATGCCCCCCCCAACACACACACCTGGGAGTGCCTGAGGTTCACGTTACTACTGTTGGTGATGATTCCTTTGCTCAAAGTACTGTTCAATTTCTCCACCTTATGGTTACTTTTCTCCCTTAGCTAATAAGCAATCTGTGGGGAGGCACTTTAAGATAATGCAGATATACTGCTCACCAAAATCCGCCCCCCCCCCGCCCCAGTTTATCCTCCATTGATGGCTCTTGCCATGATGGTTGCAGAGTTGTTGGTTATCAAATACCAGCTCTCCTTCCAGGTTCACCACCCAGCCCTGGGCATTCTGCTGCAAGCCAGCACCTCCCTTCTCTCCATTTATGTCTCCTTAAAATTAGAACAGACTTACGGATTCCTGTGTTTTCAGTGGTTTTTCAAGTTTTATAACTTACCACCATCCTTATTTTGGCACTCAAGTTGTCCCAGATGTGGTCAGCGAACATCCCTGCATCCCTGTGACATGCCTCCACTTTTTGAACAATCCTTTTCTTTTTAGTATAAGATATTCCAAGCCCAAATTGTTTCTACCTTGAAATCAGCTATTTTCCAGTTCCAAAGAACTTGTTCCTTTTAGTGGGGATGCTGTGAGACCTGAGTGCCAGGTGTATTCATTGCTACTGGTGAGCTGGGAAATGTGTATATATACACACAAGTGCACACAAAAAGGCCCATGTGTGCTCATATGCATGCATATACACATACATATACAGCAAGACCTCCATTTGCATTCTACTACTCCCCCATATTTTTTATGTCAGTAGTGAGAACTCTAAAATCAGCATATTTACTAGTATGCTAAATTCTAAAATACCTCTCAAAATCATTTCAGAATTGCTTTTCTCAAACCACTACAAAAACCAAACCCATTGAAAAGATGTCAGGATTTGTTTGCTCTTCCCCTGCCACAACCATCCTGACCAAGGCATGGTAGAGCACATGAATGATTTATTCTAGAGAGACAAAAAAATTTAGCCAGGTATTCCCACTTGTTAATCTCAGAGGAAGCTGGGTTAGTTCAGGCATTAGGGGCATTGGGTTTGTGCGGAGGGTCTCCCATCCAAAGGGGGAGGGATGTGGCTCATTGAGAAAGATGTAGCAGGGGTGCCTGGGTGGCTCAGTCGTTAAGCGTCTGCCTTAGGCTCAGGTCATGATCCCAGGGTCCTGGAATCAAGCCCCGCATCGGGCTCCCTGCTCAGTGGGAAGCCTGCCTCTCCCTCTCCCACTCCCCCTGCTTGTGTTCCCTCTCTCATTGTCTCTCTGTCAAATAAAATCTTTAAAAAATAAAAATAAAAAGATGTAGCAGATGGAAAGCACAAGAAGGTGGCCCTGGTGTCTCCAATGGAGTTGGGAGGGCTGGAAAGTGTACAGATCATGGAGCTCTGAGCCACGACTCAAAAAGGAAATGATATCTGGAGGGCAAGAGAGAGCCCCAGATGCACTGGCACGAAGAATGGAATGGAGTTCCTGGCTAGTTTCCACAGGGTGTCCGAGGATGACTGTTCAGAGTGGGCAGGGAAGGGCAAATCCCACAAATGGAAAACTGGCAAGATGGGAATAAATTTCAATGCGAAGAAGATGCTTAAATACCCTCTGTTATAGACTGAATTGCTCCCCACCCCAAATTTATACACTGAAGCCCTGACCCCCTCATGTGACTGTATTTGGAGACAGGGCCTACAGGGAGGTGATAGGGGTAGGGCCCTAATCCCATAGCACTGATAGCCTTATAAGAAGAGGAAGAGCAGATTGCTCTTTGATCATGTGTGCGTGGAAGAAAGGCCATGCAAAGACACAGTGAGAAGGTGGCTATCTACAAACTGGGAAGAGCGGTCTCATTAGAAACCAACCCTGACAGCACCTTGGTCTTGGGCTTCCAGCGAAGGACAACTCCAGAACTGTTAGAAAATTAATTTCTGTGGTTTAAGCCCCCACCCTGTGGTACTCGGTTGTGGGAGCCTGAGCCGACTAATGAGGCCTTCTCATGATCTGGGTTGAGAGCTTTGTAAATCATTGTCAACCAGTGTGACTGCTTTGGAAAGCAAACAGCCCAATCACACCAAGAACCACTATGACGTTTGTATATCTTGAGTCTTAAGTTTTAGGCATGATGATTTTTCGTAAAAAATTAAAGCCAAGAGAAAAGCTACATAAAATGAGATGCTGAAATCCTTTCTGGCCCTAGGTGGGATATTAAAAGTATCGAGGAAACCGCACGGAGGCCTGGTGGCAGTTGGACTTCTTACGTGGTGTCTCAGGGTTCCAAGCACAAGCGTTCCCAGTGAGCAAGGCGGAAACTGCATGGCCTCTTCTGAATCTCTGTTCACACCCTTCATTTTTCCTTGTTGGTCTTCAACTTTTGTGTCAATAATTGAGACATACCAGCAACTCTCCCCAAGTAAGTGAGGCCCTCTGGTAAGGAATGTGCTTGCCCCTGCCATTTTTCTGACACTGTGGGTTTAACTTCAGCTTCCCTCCACTGGTGCGGCCCTGCTAGGGAGGGAATGCTCGTCTCCAAGGGAGGGGAGATCTGATACTGTGGGCACCTCCTCATGGTCCCCAACTCCGGGCTGTATTCCTGTGTGTGTCATTGTGGGGGTAGGACGATAGGAGCTTGTGTGACTGGGTTTCTCAGTGATCTGGCATTTTCAAAGGACTGCAAGAGTGTGGTTGGGTTCCATTTTTACTCAACTGATCTCGAATGGAGGAGCCCTAACATGTTTTCCAAATGCAGTGTTCTCGGATGAGAAGTATCATCCTAGAGAGTCTGAACTGTGCATGGCTGGCATGACCTATTTTCTGCACTAGTTTCAGGGGTAGGAGCCTGTCATGCCATTTACCTAAAGAAGCTCATCTTCTCAGTACATCTGGTTTCCTTGAGGACAAGACGCAACACAAGGAGAGAAGCCCAGGGAAAGGGAGGAGGACAAAAGAGCTGAGCAGAAGACTGAGGCTATTGAGCCGTCCAGTCCAGTCCAGTCCAGCCACTGGCTGGCTCCCTCTGGCAAATGAACACCGGGAAGGAGGCTACAGCGACCTGAGGTGTGCCGCAAACATAAAATATATGCTGGATTTCAAAGATGTACTATACAGAAAGCAAGCAAAATACCGTATCAGTGGCTTTTTAGAGTGACACGTTGAAATGGTAACATATGGGATATATAGGGACAGATATTAATTTCACCTGTTTCTTCTTGCTTTAAATGGAACTGACAATAGCTAAATTTACCAATGTGGCTTGCATTGTTTCTACCAGAGGTGGCTGTTTTAAGTGGCTTATAAATGAGTATGAGATTAATTCCAGAAAAGGGAGAGGAGGCACTGCACAAGCATACTGGGGACGGTTGGAAGACTATTTGTAATGTCCTTCCCCCAAGGGAGAAATTTCAAGTTGACTGGAAACTTATATCCCAGCACTGTGACTGGAAAACCAGGCCAACTGATATAACCCTGATGGTTGGTGACCAAATCCAGCCAATGTAATTTAAATATGGGTTCTAATGAGGATGGCAAGTCACCATTCAAGGGTCGTGGTTGTAAGAGAGACTGCTGTCAGTGGATTCAGGATTTAATGTAATACTATGGACCTTCAAGATAAATTATACAAAAACAAAAGCTTGTCTAAACACCAGGAAGAAGAATCAATGGAAACAATCAAGAGAGGATTACCTTGTACATTTCTCAAAAGAGATAAACCTTGCAAAACATAAGATTCCAATGTGGAGGTGTTGTTCACAAGATGGTGGCTTAACAAAGGAAATCTTCCTTTTTGTGAAACAGCAACATCTGTGTTTCTAATGCCTGTGAGTCCTGTAGAGAAATTTATAGTCACCTTGCACCATTCATAAGCACCCCTCCCAAGAATGTAATGTGCAATAATGATAAATTCTGAGTGTATCTGGTTCTTGTATATAAAGAGCATCTGCTTTGAAAATCTCTAGTTTGGAATATCGTGAATCCTTGGACAGAAGCCATCTCCAGATCTGCTACATTTTTTTTTTTTTTTCCCATTTCTCTTTTCTGTAGGTTCTATGATGTAGCATTAGTGGGCACCCATGACTGAAAGTCCTCAACACTAACTCCACACCTCCCTACTACTGTCTGGATGATCTGATATCCGGGGATGGGTGACCTAACTCCACACCTCCCTACTATTGTCTGGATGATCTGATATCCGGGGATGGGTGACCTAACTCCACACCTCCCTACTACTGTCTGGATGATCTGATATCCGGGGATGGGTGACCTAACTCCACACCTCCCTACTACTGTCTGGATGATCTGATATCCGGGGATGGGTGACCTAACTCCACACCTCCCTACTACTGTCTGGATGATCTGATACCCGGGGATGGGTGACCTAGAGCTCCAAACTCCCACAGTCCTTTCCATCACTTCTCTCTGAGGGTGTCCGGGGCGTGTACTGTGTGCCAAGGCTTGCATATGCATACACTTGTGTTGTTTCTGTTGAGAGTGCCTGGGTCAAGTCTGGTAAGGGATGAGCTATGACTTGAGGCTTTCCCACGTCCCAGCGAGTGTGACGTGGGCCTACCCGGTGTGAGTTCTCTGGTGCTTGGTGAGGGACGAGCTGTGTGTGAAGGCTTTCCCACAGTCCCTGCACGCATATGGCTTCTCTCCTGTGTGGATCCTCCGGTGCTGAGTGAGGTGGGTGCTCTGCCTGAATGACTTCCCGCAATCCTGACATTCGTAGGGCTTCTCCCCCGTGTGAGTCCGCTCGTGCTGGCTGAGCGATGAGCTGTGGCTGAAGGATTTTCCACACTCGTTGCACCCGTAGGGCTTCTCCTTAGTGTGAATCCTCTGGTGTTCTATGAGAAGGGAGCTCTGGCTGAAGGCTCTGCCGCATGCGTTACACTCATAGGGCTTCTCCCCCGTGTGGATCCTCTGGTGCTGAATGAGGGGGGCGAGCTGGCTGAAGGCTCTGCCACACGCGTTACATTCATAGGGCTTCTCCCCCGTGTGGATGCGCTGGTGTTTGGTCAGGGACGAGCTGTGGCTGAAGGCCTTGCCGCACTCCCCGCACTCGTAGGGCTTCTCCCCCGTGTGGATCCTCTGGTGCTGAGTGAGGTGCGTGCTCTGCCTGAATGACTTCCCGCAATCCTGACATTCGTAGGGCTTCTCCCCCGTGTGAGTCCGCTCGTGCTGGCTGAGCGATGAGCTGTGGCTGAAGGTCTTCCCACACTCGTTGCACCCATAGGGCTTCTCTCCCGTGTGGATCCTCCGATGCTCGGTCAGGAGCGTGCTCTGGCTGAAGGCCTTCCCACACTCATTGCACGCGTACGGCTTCTCTCCCGTGTGGGTCCTCTGGTGCTGAATCAGCGGTGTGATCTGCGTGAAGGCCTTCCCACACTCGCGGCACTCGTAGGGCTTCTCCCCCGTGTGGATGCGCTGGTGTTTGGTCAGGGACGAGCTGTGGCTGAAGGCCTTGCCGCACTCCCCGCACTCGTAGGGCTTCTCCCCCGTGTGGATTCGCAGGTGCTGGGTGAGGTGGATGCTTTGCCGGAAGGCCTTGCCGCACTCCCCGCACTCGTAGGGCTTCTCCCCCGTGTGAGTCCGCTCGTGCTGACTGAAGGAGGACCTGAAACTGAAGGCCTTGCCGCACTCCCCGCACTCGTAGGGCTTCTCCCCTGTGTGAGTCCTCTGGTGCTGGATCAGTGGGGCAATCTGGTTGAAGGTTTTCCCACACTGAGTGCACTTGTACGGTTTCTCACCGGTGTGGATTCTCTGGTGTTTGGCAAGTGCTGAGCTGTTTCGGAAGCCTTTTCCGCATTCGTGACACTCATAGGGTCTCTCTCCCGTGTGCGTGCGGTGGTGCTCGGCAAGTGCTGAGCTGTGACCGAAGGCCTTTCCACAGGCCTGGCATTTGTAGGGCTTCTCCTTTGCGTCCGTTTTCCGTTGGGCACTGAACTCTGGTTCTGGCTTGCCCCTCTTCCCGCGCGTCCCCGGCATGCGGAGGCCGTGTCTTTCAGGAGCCAGTGGCTGAGGCGGGACTCTGGGGTTCAGAGTCAGGTTTTCCCCGAACCCATTGCCCTGCTGCTGCGCGGGCGTCTTCCCAGGCGTGAGGGCTGCTCGCACTGCACGGCTCTGTCCCCGGCGGCCCTCGGCGTCGCCACCCTCCAGGTACCACAGGCTGTCCCCCAGGAACCTTCCCACCAGGACACTGCTGGCTGTTCTCTCCGTGACGTCTTGCTTTGGAGCTGACAGTCTGGTTTTGGGTCGAGTTTCCAAATCTGAAACAAAAGTGGAGATGTTCCTTAATTTCAGTTTGGGGGGAGGAGTTTGTGGTGGGTGGGTGGCTAAAGACTAAAACGGGTGGTTTTGAAAGGCTGAAGGCACAGGTGGCTTTGACCACTTAAAAATACAGCTTTGCAAATCAGAGAAGGAGCAGGAGCAGGAGGGAAAGCACAGAGAATAGTCAGGGGTGGGGGACCTGGCGTAGGGACGCGAAGGGAGCTTGCAAGGGGAGCACAGAGAATGAGGGCAGGGAGAGGACGCGGGGCGGACAGCGAGCATCTGGGGAAGTTGCCGACAGATGCCCCAGGCTGGAAGGGGCAGAGCAGCGGCCAGGCCTGGCGAAAGCAGCCTCCAAGTGCCAGGTGGTGATGGAAGAAGAGCCGCCTCTCACAGGTGAAGGACCAGCCAGCCCAGCCCTCCCACTGCTCAGGTCCAGTTTCTTCCTGGTGGTCTCCTGCTGTTGTTCCATGTCGGCCAGGTGTAAAGAAACCACCAGCTCCCCCAGCCCGGAGACAGCTGAGATGTGTACCGCCAGAAGCAGGGATAAATGACCCGAGGCGAACAAGAGGACTTGGATCTGGTCTGTCGGGTCTGTCTCACCCACTGGGAGCTCCCTGAGGGCAGGGCTTCTGTCCCCCTTGGTCACCACTGCACCCCCGCCCACAGCAGAGGCCAGCAGACGTGCTGCACGAACAAACAAATGCATCCCCTCCTCCTCCTTCCTGGCAGGACTGCCTTTTGGCCCTGGGACCCAGTCTGCCCTGCACATCCATGGCCTCGGTGCATGCCGTTCCACCCCAACGCTGGACTGGCCTAAAGGTGTGAGGTGGGCACCCTGCCCGTTTACGTTACGCTCTAATGAAGTGTTCAGGGAAAAAAAAAAAAAGGTCACGCCAGGTGTGGCTGGCAAAATAGTGGCTCCCAAACACGTCCATGTTCTAATTCCCAGAACCAGTGAGGAAGGAAGGGTGCTAGTCCTCTGACATTAGCTAATCCTCTGCGATTCCCCTGGATTCCCCTGGTGGGCCCAAGGCAATCACAAGAGTTCTGATCTGAGAGAGAGAGACATGTAGGAGGGCCGGGGCCAGGGTGACGGGAGAAGAGCTCAGGGCCACGCTCACTTGGAAGATGGACAAGGCTGTGAGTCAAGGAACGCGGGCACCTCTGCAAGCTGGAGAGTGAAAGGAAATGGGTTCTCGCCAGGCCCTGCAGAAGGAATGCTGCCTGCACTGTGGTGCGGTGGCCTCCCGAATGGGAAGATAATTCGTGTTGCTCTAAGCCGCTAAGCTTGTGGTACTTTGTTACAACAGTCGTAAGAAGCTAATATCCTAGGTAAGGGCTGGCTACTCCTGAAGCTGGAGAGACTCCGTCGTGACCCCCTCCCCCACTGGCCGTTTCTCCTGGGCCCTGGTGATGGGCTGCTGCTGAAACTGGGTCAGGGCCCGACACAAGTGCTGGGAAGCCCCACCTCCTGCAAGGCTGGTATTGGTCTCAGGAGCTGGATAAGATGTATGAAGAACACAGCCCCCACGGGGCAGGTGGAAAAGCCCAGACTGGATCCACCGACCCACAGACACGTGAGTTGTAAAAGATTCTGTGGTTTAAACCACTGAGGCTGGAGTGTTTGTTACACAGGAAGAGCAGGCTGCTGCCCAACCCCAGTGCCTTTGCACTTACTGTTCCTTCTGCCTGGAATTCTGCTCTGCCAGCTTGTTTCATGGTGGCACTGTTCTCATGACTCACGGCTCACACGTCCCCTCCCTGGAAAGGCTTGCCTCATCTCTGCTCAGGTCCTCTGCACAACCTGGCCTCTGCCTTTGACCCGTGTTTACTTCCTCAGCATTCATCATACGCCGTGAGCATCTTGTGCAGCTATCATTCTACCTGTTTACTGCGTGCCCCTTCCCTCACCAAGAATGTGAATTCACTGAAGGTCTCACTCACAGCAGAACAGGTGCTTGGTGCACGTTTACTGCAAGACTGAGTAGTCAGTTTGCTCAGAAGAATGCGAGAGGAGATATGGAGAGAGAGTGCCCCAGGGGTGAATGGGCTCCTCCCAGCCCTGCAGGGCTCTCCCCTCACCTGAGCACGCACCCCAGGGAACCCCCTCATCCACCGCCCACAGCTCCTCCTCCTGCTCCAGCAGGGAGATGACGTCCAGCTTGGGGAGCCAGCATCCTGCTCGAGGGAGACCCACAGGTGCGCTTTGTGTTCCAGGACCCTTCTCACCCCTCTGTCCACTCCACTTTCCTTCTTCCGGGACCCACTTGGCTGCAGGCCCCAGAGGCCACAGTTGTGGAAGAGGCCCTGGTGTCAGGCCCTGGAGGGACCCCAACCCTGGCTCTGGGGGGATGTGTGACCCCGCCCCGGCCAATCCAAGCTTTCCTGCCTCCCCGCCCGCTGGCAACAATGACCAGCATGGAGGGGACTGGGCTGCCACACAAGACAACCCACGGGCCTTCCATGGGGGCCCAGGACACAGACCCTGTCTTTTTGGCTGGTCTCAGACACAGAAGAGGTGCCGTGGCAGCTCTCCTCACCTCCAGGGGGCCCGTCTGTGAATGGAGGCGCTGTCAAGACTCGGCCCTGGACCCAGAGGGAGGAGGTATGAAGGGAGGGGACTCCTGACAGGCCCCAGGAAGACTCAGGTCTACCCTGGGATTCTGCAGTCATGGGACCCACTATGGCCCTCTTGCCCCATGATTTTCTGCTTCTGGCATTTTCAGGTGGGATCTGTAACTTGCAACCAAACATCAGGAATCTAAGGCCCAAAACTCATCCCAGGTATTTGCTTTTAAGGCCTAGACCTACCCCTACTTTTAACCCAGGAGAATTAGAATCTGTGCTGGGGGCAGACCATCGGGGGTTCAGGCGTGGCCTTACCCACGGAGACCAGGAGCCTGAAGGTCTCCAGCATCACATCATGGTACAGGGTCCTCTGGGCAGGCTCCAGCTGCCCCCACTCCTCCTGGGTGAAGTCCACAACCACGTCCTCAAAGGTCACTTGCTCCTGAAACAAATGTCACATACAAATGTCCTCACCTAGGCCAAGCCTGGCAATGGCTGCTAGAGGGAGCAGCTGGTGGACAGTGACAGCCAAGCTGAGGCAGGGAGGGGTTTTCTCAGGTCTGAGGATTTGGGCCAGGTTTTCCTGGGGGGCCTGGGGGCTCTGCTGGAGGAAAGGGGTCTTAGGATATAAGAGGACACACCCAAGTCGTGCAAGCACCCCTGAGATGCCATCATGGCAGTGACCGAGGAAGGGGACAGAAAACCTCCCACCCATCAGCTAGAACGTTCCCTGGTGTCCATAACCTGCAGTCACCAAGCCGCAGACTCATGTAAATCTGCGCCGTGCATGACGATTCCTGAATACAATGTGGGGCGAAAGAAAAGAGCGAGTGGAGTGGTGGGAACAAGCAGGTGAACCCAAGGGGGGGGGCCAGTAACGGGACCTCTGGGAACCGTTTCCTAGTCTTTGATTTTGGACGTTTACATATTGGGGTAAAAACATGATCCCCAAGGAGAAAGGCTCATGGTGGCTCCTGGGTGATCCCGTCACCCCCCCACTTGTGTGTGTTTTCTGAAATTCCCACACAAGGCCCGTTTCTTCCGCGACTGGGTGGGGAATTTACGATTTTCTTAAAGGCACGTGAGGGGCAGGGGCGGACATCCTCCACAAAGGCAGTTTCATCTCACCAAATGAAGTGCTGTAGATGGCGGTGGGGGGGGGGGGCGGATATGTGGGGAGCAGAGGCAAAGTCCAGGCCCTCACCTTGACGCTGGGTGTCACTGACCCGAGTGAGGGGCAGTGAGGGACACACAGTGCCTAAATACCGGATCCTGGCCCAATGGGCAGCATCTGCCTCTGCTACCATTTCTCTCGCCAAAGAAGGGGAGATGTGGGGCAGCAGAGGGTATGAACTAGGCATCTGGGGGGTGGCACTGTCAAGACTCGGCCCTGGACCCAGATGATTGGGCTTCAAACTCCAGCCCCAGGTCCATCTTTTAAAGTGCTCTGTGCCTCCCTGCCCTCATCTGTGAGTTAGTGAGAACTCCCCGAGAAGCCTGTTGGGAGGAGTAAGGGAATTCACATGATGTGTGTGCCCCGGGCCTGGCAGAGTGGGTGCTTTACCTGTGTGAGCCACCATTCAGGTAGGTGTGCTGGGGGGCTTGGGGAGGTTTTATTTTCTTTCACCAACTTCCCCATTTCTGCTCTATCTTCCAGACTCAATAGGTCTTAGTGGTTATCTGCAGAGTCCTAGTGAGCGCAGGTCACGGTTCTGGGCACCGCAGATGCCAGCGAAACGAGACGCACACCTGGCCACGTGGTGCTCGTGTGCTAGTTGCAGGGTCTGGGCGCTGACGAAAAATGACATCCCAGGGGGGTCAGTGCTCTAGAGAAAATAGGCGGGGCGCTGCTGGAATAGCCACGAAGGCAGTGGGATGTGTGCTGAGCGCTGGGGATGTTGGTGGGCGCACGTGGTCTGAGCTGGGCCCAGGCGTCCTGGCTCAGCCACTCCCAGCTGTGTGGCCTCAGGGCTGTGACGTGCCTCCAGGTCTTAGTTTCCTCCTTGCAACCTCATGGGGCTGATGTGGGGGCAGGATAAGGTGCAGGCTTTGGCACATTTCCACCCATTCACTGAGTGCCTACTGTGTTCTGGGCCTTTGCACGTGGCAAAGATGATCAGAACTGCTTCCAAGGCCCTAGGCCCCCGGCAGTTGGCCTAGGAGACCTTGTTCTCAGTCTTCCTGGTACATGTGTGTGCCTGCCCCTTACGGAAAGTGCCTAGTGGGTTCCACCTCCAGGCCTTTGCTCATGGTATTCCCCCGGCCTGGAACAGTATTCCTGTGGGCCTTGATCTCACTCCCTACCCCCCTGCAGGTCTCTGTTTGGGGGCCACTTCCTCAGGGAGGCCTTCTGGGCTATACTGGCTAATGCCTGGTGCCCAAGCCCACCTTCTTCTGGGCCTCATTTCCCTGCACAACACTTGGCACATTGACATTCCTCGTAGGGACTGTAAGCCCCAGAGGGATGGTGATTTTTTGCTCGTCCTGTCTGTTCCTGTACCTGCAATTCCTACAACAGTGCCTGGAAGGGCACCTGGTCAATGGCAGGTGCTAAGTCCCTGTCGCCTAAGGGACTGGATGGAGAGAGTGAGCTGGGAGTATACACCAGAACCCTGTGTTGAGAAAGTGCCAGACACATGAGTGGAATGATTGAGTGCTGTCTGCCAGGGTAGAATAGGGCAGGTGAAGGAATCAGGAGGAGCCTCTCAGAGGTGGTGAGGTGGGAGATCTGGAGGAAGATGGAGCTGGCCAAAGCACATTCCTGGCAGGGGGCAGAGTAAGGGTAAAGGCCCTGAGAGCAGAAGGAGTCTGGTGGGGACCTGAGGAGGCCCGGGAGGCCTGAGTGGGAGGGCGGTGGTGTACTCACCGGGGCCCCGGCAGTGAGGAGCCCAGCAGTCATTCCCTCCTCCTCTGGCCTCTTACAGGAACAGCCAGCTCCTCTGCGGGCAGTTCTGGGGGCACGGGGATGCAAGAGACTGGGCGAGTGCCTGTGGTGACCAGAAACCCCACACCCTGGAATCTATGTGCAAGTAGGAGGGGTTCTAGCTGCTGGAGCCTGGACCCCTGCACCCAGGCCAAACCCAACAGCAGTGAAACCTCAGCTTGGCATTTTCCAAGCACCTACTGTGTGCCCAGTACTACTCCAGGCATTGTTGACAGATTACCTTGAATTTTCCCAGCCCATTTCACAAATAGGAAAACTGAGGGCCACGGGCGGGCAAGGGGCACACCCCCAGTTGCCTAGGTGGGTGATGACTGTTTGTTACTATGACAGAAAGCCAGACGGTTACGGAGTCTTTAGGCACTGTTGGCCTCAGTTTCCCCCTCCCATAAAATGAGAGTGGTGACCCAGCACAGAGATTATAGGAATTAGGGTGTGGCAAGGGCTGAATATGGAGCCTGGCACGCACCAGTACACACATGAAGGCCATCGGTGCTGGAAGACTTCAGCGAGCATCTGCTTAGCATCCACAACAGGCAGGGCCCTCGTCCCTGGCTGAGTGCCCCGTATGAAACTCAGGCCAAAGGTAGTATGCATTTCCCTTGTCTCTCTGTACCTCCCCTTGACGATGCTTCCTATGCACCCAATTCTGTCCCATCCCACTTGTGTCCTGTTGTCTTCACAGCAGTTTCCAGGATGGGAGTTACCTTGTTGAGTGATGTGTCGACAGGTTTCTTACCATCTCCCTGCCTCTCCTGGGGGCTCCGGGGTCCGAGACAATATTCGGGGCTCTTGGTTTAGGATAGGGCCTGGCACCCAGGACATCTAAATACGGCTTGCTGAATTAATGAAGGAGCCTGGATGGTACTCAATGACTTTAACATAATGAGGCTGTTTTCTGGGTCCTAGGCGGCTGGGAGTGAAATGTTGCGCTTTCGGTCTCGCTCACGATCATCCTGAGAAGCCGCTCGGTAAGATGAAGCCCCAGAGAGGACTTCGCAGTGGGGCCTCGGCCCTCCCCACCCTCCAAACCCCGGACGTCCCAGCAAAGCAGGGGAAGGATGCAGGTCAGGCTGGCTCCAGCCTCTGGAGGGTCGGACCAGCTAGTATCTCTGGGACCCGGAAGCCGGAGGCTCCCACCCCTTTTGCCAAAGCCAGGGCCCCACCTGGCCCCAACTCCTCCTCTCGAACCCGGAGACACCCCCACCCCCAATCCGGGCCCCGCCCACTAGGCCCCGCCCCCCCCGCCCCCGAAGCAACCGGCCCCGGGCCCAAAGCAGGAACAGGGACTCTACAGACGCACGCGGGAAGACCCCGGATGCCCGCCCGTCTCGGCCTCCCCCGTTCCGACCGCCCCAGTGTCACTCACCAGCCGGACGGCAGGACAAAGGCCGCGGCCGCCACCAGCCGGGTCTGGGCCTGCGCGGGCGGGCGCCCAACTACATCTCCCAGAGGGCGGCGCGCGCACTTCCGGTCGTTTCCGTGCTCGCCGCGCCCGCGCCCGGGGCAGTGGCTCGTGCGGTCGGAGTACGGGGTCGGCTTCGAGGACCCCCGCCGGCCTTAGCCTCGCCTCTCCGCCCCAAAACCCTTCCACGCCGCATTCCCTTGTCGGATGGCCGGACGAAGGCCACGCCCGCGTTTGGCTGGGACTGCGCCTGCGCAGGCGGCGCCGAACTACAACTTCCAGAGGCCCGCGCGCGGGGTCCGTGGGTTCCGCCCCAGCCGTCCGGTCGTGGGGGATCGAGGTCGAGTTTCGACGACCGTGCTTACGGCGTGGCCGCAAGTGCCCAGTGCCCGCGGGCTGTGCCGTGGGCCCCGCGGACGTCGCCCCCGCGCTCCTACAGCGGTAACTGGCCGGGGACTAGTGCAGACAGAGTGGTCGGGGCTCAGGGAGGACGCTGAGCGAGGCCGTGGGAAGACCCCGAGCAGCAGTCTCCGCGAGGAGGTCGCAGCCGGGCCGAGGCCGCGTGGGCAGGGCCAGTGAGTGAGGTGAGTCCTCCCGGAGCAACGACAAACGGCTCTCATGTTGGAAACTGTGCCGTGACCTTTATTGTTGTAGAACAAACTGGTGTTTCCAAAAAACAGCGAAAAGTGCAAGACACAAAAACGACACACAGAATTAAAACAGATACGTTCACGAAGATGCCAAATACAAGAGCCGTTTACGTTCTGCCACGCCGACCCTGCCCTGCAGTATTTGGGACGTGGCTGTAGGACACAGCCCGCGGTAGACACGTTTACGTCATCGTCAGATGTGTGCATTCGAACGGCAGCATAACATTCAAAGCTGATGGGTCCTCAGTGACTGCCCTCGTCATGGGCTGAACATTGACCAAGGCTTGCCAGGCGCTGGGCCCAGGGTACGGCAGCCGGCAGTGGAGCAGGCGCCAGTGGACGAGGTGTGCACCTTCGCCATGCACCCACTCAAGCCAGACTTCTTTCCCTGGTGTGCACGGGCCATCCCTAGAGCAGTGAGTGGAAAGAATCTCACCAAGGCCGAGCCATGTGCGCTTGCCCCATTAGGAAAGACTAACGGATTCAAGTCCGGCTTGCCTGCTGGATTTGAAGCTGAGAACAAGTGTCAAGGCAAGGGCATGTTTTCTTTGATTGAAACAACTCTGACTCTGAAAACAGCAGAGAAGGCAGGAGGGATTCTCGCGTTAGGGAAAAACCTAGCTGGGTACCTTTTCTTTACACACACAGACACTTAAAAGATTAGGCTGGTTCTCACATGAGTAGAAGACTTTAAATTTCATAAGCCCTACAGCAGCAGTTGTTAGGGAAAAATATGATGGATGGCTCAAAATCAGAATGCACTGATGTAAACAAGGCAAAGACAAGCTTAACGGCTTTTCTTTAAAGTGTTTTGTACATTCAAAGACTATAAAGGCCCACATTTGTGATTGTCATGCTGAAAGCCCACCTTCTCTTCTCTGTACTACAGATGAAGGCTTTAAAATATACATAAAATGTCAGTTACCAGTTCTTTCACCTGCAAACCAAAATGCAAAAAGAGACTTATTTTTTCTGTTAGTTTTTTCTTCCACAAAATGTGTACTCTTACCCCTACTTTCCTTTTACTGTATCAGAAGGCATGTACACGCTACTCATGATGAAATCTTTTCCCCAAAAGGTCTGGGCAGAGTCCTGGTAGTGAGCTGTTGATTGTGTGCCACACAGACTTGCCTGCTCCTGGGGACTTACCCAGCCCAAGTATTGAGCCGGGTTGCCCTGCTCAGCTCCCTTGGGACTTGCCCTTCTGTTACCTTTCTCTACCCTCCTAATCCTTGTTTTTTTCCAACCAGCTTTCACAAACTCAAATGCCTGCAGGCGCTGGGCTCTAAAGGGTTGGGTGCTGATGGTCTCATCAACCAGCTGGTGCCATGTGAACAGGTAAGCCCAGTGTATCAGGTCTGGACTTCTCAAAAGAAGCCAAAGATTTGGTTTTGTGTGTGAAATCTCTTGATTCACAGGAAATTCAAAGTGTTTAAAAACACTATCAATTAAACAAGATGATCTGAAGGCTAGCTCTGTGTTGCCTTCACCCCTCCAGACCATGTTGTAGCCAGTGGCTGGGCCCCATTTATGCCAATCTCAGCTTCCTCTAGCCACAGGGGTCGCCTCCACTTGGCTGTGACAGGACAGCACCAGGAGCAGTCGCATTAGGAATCAGTGTAGGTTTCAAGGAATTCTGTAGTCATGTCGTGGATAGCACAACTTCACTACACTCTTTTTGTTAAATTGTTCGATATACACATTTAAATATATTACAGTGATTAGCCTTGTATATATATTTCATCCTTTTAAAAAAAAAAAAAATCATTTTGGGAGCCTCAAAGCCTAGCAGTGCCCAGGCCTCTGCTCCCAGAGGCCCTGACTGCGGTGGGGAGGAGGGTGGTATGTTTGCCTCTGGTTCTGGAGCGTGAGATGATGAGGACTTGCACTGCATCACAGCACCCAGTACCTGGCCCAGCAGAGCTCCGTGACAAGCGCTGGAGGACAGACAGGGAGGCTGGGGAGCGTCCCAGTGGGCAGGTGTTGGGGTCCTGCAGGGGACACTGGCAGATGAAAGCAGAGCATGAGCCAAGCATGCGTGGAGTGAGCAGAAAGAGAAGGGGCGGGTGGTGTTCTACCTCGCTACAGCTTGAGCAGCATCTTGGGACTAGGCAGGCTGGGCAGTTAACTCAGTTTAGCAGCTTTGGTGAATCGGGATTCTGAGGAGTGACTCTTCAGGGCCAGGACCCTGGGCCACATCCGTGCCTGTGTCAGCCAAGGCAGAGAGTGTTGAGGGTGGCCTTCCGTGACACTTCCTGCCACCCCATCTCCTCAGAGGTCCAAGTAAGGTTCCTTGGTTGATCACTGAAGCCCTGAGGTGGGGTCTTGGCAGTGGCTGCAGCTCACTTACTCATTTGATTACCATTCACCCATCCTCACTCGCAAAGGGCTGCTCTGTGCCGGGCGCTAGTAAAATGCTCCAGTGAAAACTGTTCTGAGCAGAGGAGGCAGCCCTTGAGGAGGGGAGGAGGCCCAGCATGGGAGTCATTGTGGAGACAGGCAGGGACAGAGTGGGCGCAGGAGGCCAGCCTACACCACCCCAGCGCTGGGGGCTACTGAAGCAGGAAGGGATTCGAGGGAACTGGTCGGCTGGGCTTTATGTCATCTCAGTGTGGCTGCTTCAGGGGGATCCTGCCGGCTGCTGGGACTGGATGGGATGGAGGGGAGTGGGCTGGAGGCAGAGTTTGCTTAGAGGCAGCTGCAGGCATTCAAAGATGTAAAAAAGAAGATAGAAGAAAGGGAGGCTGGGGCAGTCAAGTGCAGTGGGGAGAAGAGAACAGGGCGATCCTTGGGCCTTGCAGGGTGGAGGGACGGCATATAGGGGAGGCAGTTGTTTTTCTTTCGATCA